ATGACCGTGTGTTGCATACATGTTAGTAAACACCCCTAGCGCATCTTGCACTCATAACATTGATCCTGGTGGTGACTATTTGTATTGTATGTAGCAGACCATAATGGTCATAGAAGTGTTATGAAGGCAGTGCCCCCCAATTATGGAGGGGTAATTCCCACTCTGCGTCAGGGGTGACCAATCTTATCCGCAAAGGGCCGGTGTGTATGCAGGTTTTTGGGATAACCTGTAGGTTAGCTGTTCAAACCCAGGTGTGAGGACTCTTCAGCCAATCAATCCTCTAATTAGTAATCTAATTAGGGAGTTGCAGCGAAAACCCGCATACACGCCGGCCCTTTGCGGATAAGATTAGCCACCCCTGCTCTACGTCATCTGCTAAATTAAACATGTTTCTTATTATTACACCAGCACTCTAGGAAGTAAAAAAAAAAAAATAAAAACTTTTTTTCATAAAGTCTCAAACTTTGTCAGTAAGTCCCTTTCCTCATAGCTAGTAAGGTGAAAAAACTTTTTCCACATCTCAAATACACTAAATTCCACTCCAAACACACTGTCTAATTCAGGGGTGGCCAAACTTATCAGCAAAGAGCCAGTGTGTATGCAGGTTTTTGGGATAATCCTTAGGTCAGCTGTTCAAGCCCAGGTGTGAGGACTCTTCAGCCAATCAGTCCTCTAATTAGTAATCCAATTAGGGAGTTTCAGCAAAAAAACCTGCATATGCAGGCTTTTTCGGGACAAGATTGGCCACCTCTGGTCTAATGTATGGGTTTTAAAAATATTGCATTTTACAAAGTAAATCAGTGGACCAGTAGAACCATTTCCTTAAAAATGTTTTATTATTAAGTAACAGTGAGGTCTTCCCCCATGTCCAGTGTGATACCCCTCCTTTCTTTGGTTACAATTTGATAACCAAATCAGTCAACGCAGGGAGGTAATACTCGGACCATAGTTACTGTTGTGTGCCTACGTGCACTTACACATACACGCCTATACATTTGTGCTACAATTCATGTTTAAAGTGCCCATAACTGCACAATGTGCTTAAATAGTTCTGGATGATAGCTAGCTGACCACTGACTCACTGCAGACATTGCTGCGTCATTTGTGATGCCAGTATTATCCTTTCCAAACACTCCAATGGGTCCACAGCTCACAGGACACGCAAACAATATCCATCTAAACAACTTTTGGCACACTATCCCGAAAGGTAAAAATTTACCCTGCGCATGAGGCAGTGAACTGTGCAGTTAGAAAACTGTAAGTAAGATAAAAATTAAAATGAACTCCTGTCATGCTAGAGACCTGCGTCTTGTGCCACTGGCTGGTCATGATCAGTTCGATTGATCTGATTGCAGTTCAGTTCCAGTGAATGGGAAATTTTCAAATTCAGTTTAAAGGGTTTAGACTGTAAATCATGAATTGAGATTATAAGCATAATCCAGTATTGAAAACCGGAATCCTTAAATTCACAAAATTGAAGCTGGAGGTTCACTGGAGTTTTAAACAGTAATTCAGATTCACTCATGTAGCCAGCTGGGCATGAACTTGGGGAAAGAACTTGGAAAATTAAAGTTTTCATCCTGGTCAAAATGTAAATTTTGTATTAGAAGAAAATTGTGAAATATTACTATAACTGAAAAGATTTAATCTAAATATTTGCAGTTCAAGATATCCCATTCCTGACTGGACTTTACCATAACCACATTTAGGTGGAACTTTTCAGGCACTGGCTGTAATGACAGCTGTATATAGAGACTGTGATTTTTTGGGAATGCAGCTCACACTAAACAGAACCATGGATCTGTGTTGATTACTAAAAAAAATAAACAAGAAAAATCTCAGTGAAATTCATGCACAAACCTTACTTAAGGTTTTGCATATGTTCTAAATGGCACAACTTATTTGAAAACAATAACAGATTATACATTATACCTATATTAACATGTCGGGAGAAGAAGTTTATTAAATAAAATAACAAAAACCAATTGATATTGACAATGAAGCACAGAGACTTAGTGATGTCACTCTCTGATCAATAAATAAGTCAGAGAGTTATCGCTAGCCTCTGGTGATTAGTACTGGTCTTGCGTATTTATGACAGAAGTTAAATTGCTGGAAAGAAATGCACCAAATGGCTTTCTGGAGCTTATTGGAACTGCAGGTCCCTTATTCATTAGGTCCTCCATCTGGTCATAGTACAGTCCCCATCCTCTTGGTCTCTCAATGTTTGTGCGTGAATATCTGCAGTAAGAGAAGAAGGGTCAAGGAGGGCAGTCATTAAGTCATAGCAGTCATCCTACAGTCTTGCACTCACACGTAAGATGGCTGTGCTGCATATACGTGGTAACAGTTAACTACAGTACATTTAACAGTATGGTCAGTGTTAAGCAGGCTTCAAAATACAGATCTTGTGCTTAAAACTGAAACTTTCATCCATCTGCTCCATCCTAGAAAAGTTTCTTAGGTTGTTTCTTTGAATCCAAGGTCAACAATATCACCCCTCCATCAGTTATCATCTATCCCTACTTAATTTTTCACAGTATATCTTTTCTTTTGATGAGTTCTGGACATACGCCAAAATCATGTCCTCTTGTTTAATGTCTAATCTCATCTTTTTTAGATGTCTATCCTTCAGCTTATCCACACTTACCTACAGGTCATTTACTTCTGATGGGTTCCTTTCAGGCTACATGTGCAATCCTTCTGGTCTCGCTCTTTGGGTGACCTCATCTCTGTGATTATCGCTGGTATAGGTATATGGAGCTGGTGTTGGGGGTGGGGGGGGGTCGCTACAAGATTCTCTAACACATTATTCTAATTGATAGGTACTACTCCACATAAATATTTGTATTGTTTTATATCTCAGCAGGGCAGGTTGTAGCAAATGCGGTGAAGGCTTTTTTGATTAAATACAGGTTATAGCTGATGGCAAGCTGCCTTCCATCAGAGAGTAAAAGCATTTGATTTCAATAAGTCTGGATGGTGCTGAATGTGAAAAAGTCAGTGAAGATACTGTAAGCTGGAGGCTTCATGAAGCAGGTTCACATCACTGACTCTGCATCAGGCCCAACACACGGGACTGAGGCGCCGCGCTGAGGTCTGGGGGACTGAAATATGGCTGCACATTTCCCGTTAGCCGCAACGTCGCCAGCTTCGCTGTAGGACGCTTCCATGTGCTCGTCTCTGTGTGCTTCTCGAAGTTATCCATAGTGTACTAACTGTTAGCCTAATAAGCTTTAGCATGAATGGTCAACACTGACAAATAAGTCGGTTAAACTGGTCTTCTTGTCACCCCTTGATATGTAGTTTTAACTTCATAAAATATCTTACAGCTTTTAATAAGATTATTAGAATGTTGCATGTATCCTTGGGGCCTGTTTCAACAATTGACCTCTCTGTACCCCTGTAGAAGAAGCACCATAGCAGTTCATAGAATATTTTTAGGAAGGACTTATACGTTCAAGGTTCCTAACAGGCTAAGGCTCTTGTTGCAAAACAGCAGAGAGAAAAAAATGTAGGGAATGAACAACTGAAAGACTCAGGCACTTTTCCTGGATCTCCCCTTGGATTCAGCAGCCAAACCTGTTTGACTCCTGTAAATGAGTCTTTATGTTTTGGAAATCTGTGTCCGTGACATTGGGGTGTTTTCCAGCTGGTCTTTTTCCAGGTTGTAGAGGAGTTATGCAATTAAAGATCAAGAGCTCCAGGTTGAAAAACAAATTGTCAATGATCTCCAGGGCTGCACCTTGTCAATTTCTCTCCAGGTAAAGAATCACCTTTGATATAACAGTGTGACTAATTTCCACTCATCTGATAGAAGGTAGTCCAGGAGACAGATTTCAAAAGAAACTGGACTATTTGAGGATTTTTGGGAAGTCATTAATGTTGGCGCAGCAGTCTTAAAAAGTATGCCACAAATCCAGACTGATGACTTGCCTAGACTTTCTTATCAAAATCCAAATGGAGTTTAGTAATGTTTCCCAGAACATATCAACTTAAGACTGTCCTCAGTTTATAACAAATCTAGATCAATGCCTAAATCAATGACAAAATTTCTCCATAGGAATACAGATGGATTTTCCTAGGGCAAATTTAGTTAATACCTATAAAAGTACTATCACAGGACCTTAAACTATGAATTACTCATTAAAAAATAATCCAAAATAATTCTATGAAATACAAATGTATTGCGGATTTATTAAAGGGGTCTTTAAACCAGAAAGTAAGGCACCTTTCATTATTATACTTGAATTAATTTAATACATCGGAGAATGGTCAAAATATGCCATCTCAGATCTAAAGTTAATTCGACAGGATATAATTTAAGGACTAGGGCTGGGAAACATTGATTTAAATGTACTAGGTTTTCGATAGTACCTTTAATCTAGAAATAAGTCTTGGAAATTCCATCTCGGATTCTGATTGATCGCTAGCCATGTATTATGGAAGAAAAAGCAGCAGATTGACAATAGAAGTCTATGTTTTAAGCCATGTAGGACCAGAGCTTTAAACACCCTGCCCCAGACGCAAGTAAAACAACTTCCTTGAGTCTTCCTTGAGTTTCTTGACCTGCTCTTCACCGTTGTCCTTTGTATCTGTGACCAAGGCTGTCATGAAGGGACTCTAGTCATTAGCTGGTGAGGTCAGTGTTGGTGACCCATGATAAATAATAGGCTTGGTAGCATAGGATTCTTTTTGGTCTCTGTTCCTTTAGTGAACAATGGTAAGGAGCCATCAACACGTAGCACTTGTGTCACTTTGTTTTAACTCTCCTGTACAAGCCATCCCTATGTCAGTCTGGTTCAGGTTAGTATGTTATAGCAGACGTAAAGTGATTCAGCACCGACAAATCACCACAGTGTGGTGTTTTACCTGCCCTATAATGAAGCTAATTCTCATTCCAGTGACTTGTCATTGGGTGGTGATGGACAGAGCCAAGGTGAGAGAGTAACCATCCGCTCAGTCCTCAGCAAAGTCTTTCCGTTTTCAGGAAGTGTTGTGCTAACACTGACATGCGATCGTCATGTTGGTCCTTAGAAGAAAGCCTCCCTGTTTTTCCGGAGGGTTTGCTCTGATCCTGAGTCAGTGCAATGTGCAGTCCCTCTCAGTCCCCCTTCCCAGGTGGAGGGCCAATGTGTGGCAGTAGCACTGAGTGGCAGCGGGATTGTTTTGGGAAGATGTGGTGTGTTGGAGGGGGCAGGCCATAGCCAAGCCCCGCCTCTCAGCACTCGCCAGCAGTAATCAGCTCCCCGGCGGGCCTCTCAGTCAGCCTATCCCTGCGCGCCTGCTCCGACGGCTCCTCCTCCTCATACAGTGTGCGATGAATGTTGAGGAGAGGGTGGGAGGGGTTTCGGTTGAAGGGTCTCCCCTGATTCTCAGCATCCTCCTGGGATGCCGGGGGGAGGGTCATGGGCAGGCTGCTAGTGGTGCCATTCAGGAAAGAAGAAGTGGAGAGGGTCACCCCTGAGAACGAGGATGGATTTGGTTCAGAGACAGACTCCTTATTATCTGGGGGAAAAGATAAAGAATGAGATAAAAGTATTGCTCTTTAAAATACATATTAAACATATCATGTTTAGGCTTGTCCATTCAGCACAGATCCAAACTAACATAACTGCTTCACATCTGTTCTGATCTGACCTACACCTACTTATCTACTGATTCTAGATGAATATTCACCTTCAAAAGGAGCATTAAAATATATTTTTGTCTATAAAGCAAAATAAAGGGTCTTGGTGAGTCACTAGATTCCAAGGAACCTGCCAGTGATTCATCAACTCCATCAAACGACAAGAAGATCTGTGGCAAGCATTTGCATCATCTGAAGCAGCAATTGGAGCTACCTGTGATTGAGGAGGGCACGTGTACTATGGTGTGCGTGCCCTCGAGGAACACCGTGTCCAGGCTGCTGTCCGGGGGTGTGGGTTCTGCATGAGCCACCTCAGCCTTGGGCTTGCGGATGGTCAGCATGTAGGGCTGGACGTCCAAGGAGAAATTCCCCTTGTGCTTCTTCTCCATGCCGACCCCACTTAGATCTCCAGCTGCCAGACAGTTATATGTTAGACAGCAACACTGGTAATACAGAAACATACACGTCTACCAAACTTCTGTGTAATTCAAAAAATATATATGTCAAAGCTGACACAATTCATGGAGAAGGAGGAGGAGGAATGTGACATTGTGATGAAGCTTTATTTATGCATGAAGGTCCTTTTGTCTGAGATGGACTGGCATCTGATTATAGGCATCCCCTGCCATGTGAACAGTGCTTCCTAGAGTCCAGGCTCACTGCGACTCTGAACTGAATAAGCGGTATAGAACATGGATTGATTGACGTAGATGACCGCCATAGCCTGCTGCCCATACTTTTGGAGGTCAAGGGGTACTGTGTGCTCTTGGTGTCCATCAAGGGAGCGATGAAGGTGTCAGCGACTGTTTTGCGACGCAGTGGTTTGGGCTTGTCGGCCTTGGTGCTGTTCTCCAGTCTAGTCAGGGCCAGAGGTTCCTGCATGTAAAGGATGACAGTGAAATGTTGAGGGAAGACTTGTTCTCACCTAGAAGAAAATCCTCTCAATGAACAACGATCCCTGGGCAAGGGTTTGGGGCTAGTTCAGCCTGTCTATTAAAAATAAATGTTTTCCTGTGTTAACATATTACTATGTCACTGACATCCTGGCTGGAGTGTTCCCAGTGCATTTCCAATCTGAATGACTACTGTTACTATTTGTTTTCCTTCAAAGGTATTTCAACAAAACAGATAAGTATATAATAAGAAAAAAGTGCAGTGCACTTAAAGAAAATTAGGTTTTAAAATACTTCTTTTCCGCTGTATAAATTATACGTGGTATATTTTATGACTAAGCTAATTCACTTCTCCATGTTATTCTTGCGATTATTGCACTCAAAGTTACATTAGCATATTCACAACCCAATAACTGGAAAACAATCAACAGTTCATACCTTGAAAGACTGTGGTAAAGGGTTAGAGGTAGGGATCCACTTAATCTTTTTTCGGGGTCGCTTGATGACGAGCGGTTCCCCACCCAACTCTCCGATACCCAGGACGGACGGGTCAAGGTTGGGGTCTATGGTCTGGACGCCTGAGTCCCGCACTGTGGGTGTGGCATCATGGTTGGATTGTGCCAAGGCAGCGAGGAGCTGCCGCACCACGTTATCATACATTAGGTCGCTTTCATTGGTGATAAAGTCCAGCCGGTTGAGGGACTTGATGTGGTCACGGTTCTCGTCGCAAAACATCGCCAGGATGTTGATGTCACAGAACGGTGACTTCTGCCAGCGGCGGCGTGTCTTGATGCCCACCTTGTGCAGCTTGTCAAAAACGAAGTTGGACTTGCGCACCACAAACAGGTGGAGCAGGTTGACCAGGATAATGAGGTTCATGAAGCAGAGCAGCCCAATATCCACGGCTGCCATGATCCGCTGTAGCTGCACAGATGGCAGTTTGCAGTTTACACTCACTCGCAGGTCGGAGGTGCTGCTTGAGTCCGGAGGCTCCCCCAGGGCGCAGGTGAACTCATTCTGCCGCTGCCGGGCGTAGTAGGTACTCAGGTAGGTGATGGGGATGGAGCTCAGGCAGATGATTGCCAGATGTCGGGCCAGGTAGAGCTTGGCTAAGAAATTGCTCTGGCCACGTCGTTCCAAGTACTTCTCAAAGAGGTTCTGCTCAGGGCTCTTCTCCTTCTCCGCATTCTCGATGATCTCCCGCCGCTCACGCTCTGTTATTCCCGGCCCCTTGGACTGGATCTGCTTCTCGATCTTTGGAGCCCGACCCTCAGCTGCCCGGTGGTAACAGTTGTCGATCTCTTGCAGCAGGAAGTTGAGTTCAGAGGTGAGCCGAGTGGAGCCCAAGAACTCCCAGCCCAGGGCGGGGATGTACATGATGCCCGCGAAGGCCAGCAAGGCATACGGCAGGAACTTGTGCTCAAACAGGGATGGCCGAACGGTCGTCTCCACCCCAGGGATGGCGTCCCGCAGCTCTGTCCAGCAGTAGCCACGTGCATACAGAGCCTGGTCACGTGTGAAGTTGCTTGGAGTATAGCAATATATGGACTCCTCTAAAGATATGGGGTAGAGTATAATGATTATATGATTAATTACCACATGATTACCATGATTAAATTAGCCAATTGCATTATTCATAAGTGTTTACAGTTCACTTGCTTAATTAACAGAATAGGAAAAAATATTATTTAAAAACGAAATACTCGGTTAACATGAGTTGAAATAAAAGATCATGGTCAGGCAGAAAAGTAATGAAAAAATGGAACAGCCCAGAAATGTATTTAAGAACAATATAGGGAAGAAAGGAGGGAAAGATAAATTTTGACAAATTACCATTTTCTCTCGCTAATGGGGAAATTTCTTTACCAAAGTCCTTCCTATGACACATGATCCAGTGTCTCAATGACCTTCAAATACTCTTGTGCCCTTCAAAATAAATCTAATTTAAAGTGCAAATGCAAGCCTTTGCATCTGGATGAGAGTGGGATTTGGTGAGCTGATAAATGGGACCCTTTTAACTGCAGACAAAATGGCTGGTGTTCCTGGTGGGACGCAGGCTGCCTGCGACGTCTGCCTGCGTTTGGGATAATGCAGCCCCTGGCACCGCAGAAAGTCAAGTGCACAGTCATAGCCGGCTGCCCGGTGCGGTTATGCAGACAGCCTGACTCAGCAGTGAGCCCAAAACCCCCCTCCCTTTTTAAACCTGCAGAGCGTAATCTCCTCACTGATCTCACACACATAGGATCAGCACTGCGTTCTTGCACCAGGGCTGGTTTATAAAGTAACCATGTCACCTTGGCACTGCTCTTTCAATTCATATATCAGGCTATATCACAGACAGCCAGAGGGCTTTTCTGAAAGCACATAAATTATTATCAAACTGTCCTCAAAGTAAAAGCGCAAGATGTTAACAGCTATTTTGACACATTCCTGATACTATTCTCTATTTGATGCCCCCAGTTTTTTTCACTTGGTTCTGCTATATAATTTAAGGGGCAACTGTCAGGCTCTGTCTCTAAAATTTCACTTCCATTAAAGGACACGCTTCATTGTTTGATTTCTATCCATTTGAGTTAGTATTAATGTTTGAGCTTCGCAAATGAAAAAGGCCGATGTATCGATTATTACATGGCTATTTTCACGGAACTTGACCAATACATTGGAGGACTGGTTTGGCAAGTAGGTGAATTGTATTTATTATTTGAGCAGCCAGTTTGTATGGAATTTCACAAGGCCTGCTACAGCTTCATGTAACGCAAAAGGCTAAATAAGCGCCCCCTGCAGGCAAATGAATATGATCCTCATGATATTGCTTGCCCACTATCAGCATAATGATGTAATCAATGTAAAAATACTAATAAACGTATCTATAGTATTTGACGTTTACTGTAAGGGATGCATGTAATACGTCACTATGCTGAAATGTACTGCTGCTCCTTGGACTTTTTTCTGCTACTCATAATAAATGGTTCATTCTATCAACAAAATCTGAAGTGTATATAAATATTTAACTAAGCCTGTAATGCTGAAAATTATGTTACATTATTACTGCTAAGTGAAGTGGGCAGAATTACAACATGATTACCATTATTGTTAAAAACCTGTTATTTTGACGTTCTGGGGACCATTTTTCAGGTCCCCACAAAGATCTGTGAATGCAGTCAAAAAACTAAAAATGTCAAAAGAGTTTAATTTTGTTTGGTTACTTATGGTTAAGGTTAGGGCTGGGTAGAGGTTAAGGTTGTCATGTTGGGTTAGAGTTGTCCCCATAGAAATGAATGGAGAGTCCCCACAAAGATATAGATAAATAATCTGTGAATATGCGTGCCTGTGTGTGTGTGTGTGTGTGTGCATGTGTGTGTGTGTGTGTGTGTGCATGTGTGTGTGTGTGTGTGTGTGCATGTTCTCCTTGTATTTGCATGGGTGTTTTTCCAACACTCCAGTAATACAGAGTTAGGAGGACTGGTATCTCAGTCTGTGATTTGGTGTGTGACTGGATGTCACTGTCTAATACACTGTGCTTCCTGGAACAGGCCTTGGATTCACTGCAGCCCTGTACTGCATAAGCAATCATGAAACATGTAACATCTGCAGTGAAAGTCAGTGATGAGCATCATATCAGCACACGGCTCTCTGTATACAAACCCAGCATAACAGCTCAAAGCAGTCTCACTGACCTGCAAAGTTGCGTGTGAAGACTAGGGTGACTAGGAGGATGGGGATGATGACGGTGCCGATGGTAACCACACGGTCGAAGGGCAGCTCCAGTTTCAGCTGGACCATAAGGCCAGCCAAGGCCCCGCCCTTCTCATCCTGAGTGGACCCGGGCAAAATGAGCTCCTTTAGTTTCTCTCCAGCGAGCAAAGCCGTGGCCATGTCTAAGTTCTGCTCAAAGATGTTCTGCATCCGGGTCTGGGGAATCCGCCTCCTCTCCTTCTGTCTGTGCGCCACTGGCCAGCTGCTGCCGTTGGATGAACTGTGATTGGCTGCTTTGCGTGTCTGTCACGCCGGGTGCTGATCACATTCAGTGCTTTTCTAGAAGATCTGTTGTGTTTGAGTGTGCGTGTATCTTACGGCGAGCAGTGATGTCAGTCTACAGGGGTGTGTTTGGAGCTCCTGGTCCAAAGTGCCATTCCTGTCAAGATAAAAAAAAATCATCTGTGTTGGTTTTCTGTGACCAATTATCTTGTTACAGTCTCAGTGACCTGAAACCAGTCATGGAAGACAGAAGGTGTAAGGCTGGGTACAATCTAAGTTGCAGGCCACTGAAGCACTGACAGAGCTACACTGTGAAGATAATTCATAGGCACATAACTCAAAGAAGACCCACACTGAAGGAGGATAAACATGCAAACTGCATACATACAGTTGACACTGTAGTCAAACATGGGAGTCTGAAGCCAATACTACATAAGTTACATAAAGTTACATAAATCTATGAACCTCAATGTTCATGCAGAGTTACAGAAATAAAAAAAACTGGCACAGTTGTGTTGTTCAGAGTCCATTCTTTAGTTAACAGGATCAGATTAAAGAAATCATGCTTATGGCTTCCTAAAAAACCTGAAAGTAGACAGTCAGGTGATCAAACTTTGGCCAGTTGACACTGTCGCTACATTAGTTATGTATAACTGTATAACTATAGCAACAGAAATCACTGGCTAATATTTAGCAAGTGGAGAAAAAACAACACATTTTAGTGCCATTTGTTCCTTTCCTCTGAAGCAAATTCAACATCAAAGTGAATTCTGTACTGATAAAAGTACTGCCAGTTTGGAAGAATCAGTGTATATTGCATTAACAGTTGCTTCAGACTTCAGGTGGTTTTACTAGCATAAGAACTGGCTAGATAACCAAGCCTTGGAAGACGTACTGTGGGATCCCAAGTGAATCAATCATTCGTAATCTTTTCTCTCTGTGAGCTTTTAGTGCAGTCTAGGACGTGATTGAATGATAGCATGTTAGCTACTGCAGCAAATCAACAATACTTTCGGGAAAGCACTTCTGTACAAGTGTCACTCCCAGACCAGGGCAGCAATTAGAGCAGAGAGAAGAATGGGAAAGAAGCAAGACTGGAGGTGGCCCCACTGCGCCTCTCTGTGCTGAGGTCATAGCTGACTGGCTGTGTCTAAAGGCAGATAGGCAGGTCACGGAGTTTCCAGATCAGGCAGTGCTGGGGTGCCTCAGCCATATCTCGCAGCAATGCTTCTTGCCTACAGTGTTCACAGAAGTAGGTGTGACCCTGTTCTGCCAGCCTTTTGAGCTGTACTTCAGCAAACAAAGAACACAGTACTTAAAGGATCTTTAGAGAATCAAGTCTCAGAATGGTCTTGGGAGTTTGCAAATCCCCAATGTGTCACCACCTTAATTCTTTCAGCTAAGGCTTATACCTGCCGTTTTGCTACTTCGTGGCATGTCTAACGCCTCTTTCGGTTCCTCCCGTCTGGCTCCTGCCCTTCAGCTGCCCAATCTGCTGTTGGATCCAGCTGTATTCATCCACCCCTCAATGGATCACATCTATGTCCTTTTTCCCATTCTACCAACTCCTGCAATTACAGGCGGAACCCTAAGCTCGGAGAGGCTGGCGGTGCAAGCGGACTCTCTGAAAGAGAGGAGCAACCTGTGACCGACAGGCTGCAGCTGTGGAGACACGTGTTGAAAGGCTTATCTAAAAACTGCAAAGCAGCTACCCGCTACTGTCCGCATGTACTGCTAATAGGGAGCTGCAGGGAAGTTTGGAACCTTCCCTCTGGATCTGTCACCTTACACGACTTTCCCATCTGCTGCCTCTCCCGCAGGTCACAAAGTGGCGGAGCATATCCTGCCCATCCTTCCCTTTATTTAACAAGAAATCAGCAAATGGCTCCACTGGGTTTTAAAATTGACACGAAGAGGACCTAAGTACCAGTATCACCTTGCAGGATATCCCCACACCGCATCTCACCACCATGATGATGTCATTATCTGGAATCAACTCATTAGAGGAAATGCAAAAATTGACACGTATGCATGCTCCCTGATACGTAACCAACCAAAACACTGTATATTCAGGGTAGTCACTGCTGTAGAAACTGATAATATGATGATCTTATAATCTGTATTAACATGCACCTTCTCAGCTAGAGTTTTGTCAATGTTCTTTCCTCTACTCCATAAATGCTAGTGTAATGATTAGTAGCTAATTAGTGTAGATCAGGACACCTAGAACGAGGAGGGGACACCATTCCACAGAAGCATACATCATTTTTTGTTTCTGCAGTACGGTAGATTATTTCATGTTCCATAGGCTTGCAAACCTGAAAAGGTCAACACTTTTCCTGCAGAATATGTATCTGCAGTCACCCCATAGTGGCTCACAGCTCTGAAATGACTCACAGACAAACAGAGTTTAATGCTGAACATACAGTACAACGAGCATCTCTTTAGTTACATCTCCTTGGTCACATCACTGTTTAGCAACAAATAGCCTAAACACCACTAGACGACCGTCTTGTTAACATTGCAACCCACCTTCTTAAAGCTTATTTTGGGACAATTTACACATCTCTTAGTGATATGGTTCTCAAATACGACTCGACTTAAATATGATTTAACTGATCTAAAAATTATTTCCTGTTTTCTTGTATCCCAAACTTTTCCTTTGAATATAGAGGTAATGTCTGGACTTAATATTTTAGTTCCTGATCCATTTATCAATTATTATGAAATTCCTCTGTAAAAGAACCTGCCTCAATCTAAAAATTATTTTTTCAGTACTACTATCAACCGTATCACCTTAAAACTCAAATATTAAATTAACAGTTATAAAAACCCTTCTGGTATTAGAGATGCTCACTGCTGGACCAAAACACTTCATGCGTGTCCCAGGAAAAAATTATGTAATTCACAGACTAAACTGGAAAGTCCTTCACCGAAAGGAAATATACTGAGCATCCAATAACATAATAATTGCTGTATTTGCTATGTTTCATGTAATCATTTTGGTCTGTAAGAATTTGGAGTTGACATTGAGGAAACTAGTGTTCAAACATGAAAACAGTATTAATTGCTCCTTACTTACAGCTGTAATCACTATAATATTTATGTGGTCTAGTAATTGGGAACAAACTTCACTTCAGTTAGCAAAACCATCATATGCTTACATATGCTGGCTGGTTTTTGGGGGTTTGGGGATTTTGGCGGTTATGAGATCTGGTGGACAGGGGGACTAACTCGCACCAGGACCCTCAGCTATCAAACGTGAAACAGAAACATACTTACTAACACGCTTACACTTTACACATGCGTCACTTTACGTAACCGGCTTCCACATAAGGTAGATTACATGTATGAATACCTAATCAAGCATTTAAAAAAACAGATGTAACGTCATGCATACTTCATTATGGTTAGAAAATAGGTAATATTAAACAATCTACGTACACATTATGCGTATATAATTCACTGTAATAATGAACATTATGTACTGTATATACAATATATACCATTACACGATACACTGAATATTTAGTTCAATGCGATTAACGGGACGATTATCATGGTGCATGTGCGACAAAACGTCTTGCACACTGAGTTGCTTCTCCAAATCAAAACCGGATGCCAGCATGAGGATATGTATGTAAAGACATTCAAATATAAGGACACTGAAAGAGGAAAGGGTCCCGGCAGCCTTCCACGTCTTAGGTGCTCTACAGCTCTGTCAAAACTTCTATCCTTCAACCTGTACCAGGCAGGGAATCCATAACTTGCTCCTTAAGCAATCAAATACCAAATCCGTCCTTTTTTAGGCACACACGGTGAAATCGATCCGCGTAAGTCGTCGAAAAAAGCAAGACATTAAATTTCATGAACTCACCCGCGGTCCTCGGCGCTGGAAGAGTTAAGCTGCAGTGCGGGCGAGCAGCTACAGCGTGTATCTACCCCACCTCTTGCCTTTTCTCTGCTTCTCCTCTGAAAATCAAGCATGAGAGGATGTGCAAGGATCCTTGCCTCCTTCTAAGCTTCTCGCTGTGAAACCCGTTCAGTAAATACAAAACATCACAGCTCACGTGCATTATAATGTTCATATAGTCATAAAACGTATAGTCAAAAAATTCTTGTATGGTGCAATCGCTTGACTTAATGCTTGAAATAGATCATTTAACATCCTCGTTTATGCAAATTGTTTTATATTGACACCTTTATATATTCTTTCATAGTATACTGGGTTTCAGAACGGGGAATGGAAGAGCAACCTTTAGAGGAACGCAAGAATGGGAGCTGTCCAGCATTTCAGCAGGTGAGGACTAGACGCACAGATGGGCATCGGCTCTTTGTTACCGGTTCATCAAGCTGCGGCATGATTTTACAACCAAATCATATGAAAACACGGGACCGAGGGAGTCGACTCCATGCAGGCGTTTTTGAGACATCCATTGGGAACAAAGCAAGAAAGCATTTGCAAAACGTCTTCCATTTTCCTCTTTCGTTCCCTGTCATCCTTAAAGATCTCTGACATCCTGTTGCTGCCCGGATCCCCGACGTATCTCATGCGCGCATCCCGGAATGATGTGTCTAAACCTCTGCGTTGCACGTCCGATTGTATTTTGGCTGTACTGTATACTTATTTTTTGCTTGCGGTACATTTGCTTCTAGTGCGTGAATGCTCCAGCACATTGTCATTTTTTGTGATTCTGTTTAGGATATCTAGAGATGAATACTATAATGTATAAGGAATAAAACTAAATTGCAAAAACACTATTTCCTGTTCTAAAAATCTATTAATATTTGGCTACAACCTAGCTTATTTAAATCGGAAACTGGTACCAAGTGAGTTGTTAATACTGCTGAAAATGCATTCCCTATAATTTATTTGTTCCTACGTGGAAAAAATGATTGCACTGTGCACCATTTTGTACGATTCTAATTTTAAAAGGCTTTTCACATTTACCCAACATAGAGAAAATTGTTACTACCTGAAGCAGAAGAGGTGTTACTATATATTATTAAAAGGTTTTTATTATCATTATGAGGGACCGATTTTTTAAACTACAATTATAAATCACTACCCGAAATGGCCTCTTGGCCTCGCCCCCCCGAGATGGCTATGAAAACCCGGCTGTGAGCAGACAGTCCCCACGTACCGGTTCGCACCGGTCTGGGATCCGCTACGAACAACCGCTGCCAAAATGGGGTATGCGTTACTGTGATGGCGCAGTTTGGGGGGTATGAAACATGCGGTCACCCCACAACTAAATGTCAAGAACAATTACGACCTTCATATTTTACATCTAAGTATACATGCCAAACTTTTTCTTGACGTCATGCTTGGTTTTGAAGTTTCATCCCTTATAGTACGAGCTCAGGCCAGGGATTAATATTTATTACAATACAGAAACACAGGGGTTCGTTCTAGGAAAAATACCGCAAAACGATTTTCGGTCAGTTTGTTTGTAAATATGTTCGGGGCGGGGGGTTAGTGGAAGCCAGTCCTATACAGTATAGGTTGCAGATCTTTATCAAAGATGACCTGCCTTGTTTGAAGTTTCTCAAGTATGTGTGCCTGTATGTATGTATGCATGCATGTATGAATTTGTGTATATATGTATCTGTGTATATACGCACACACATTCGCCCATCGTAGTCCATCGTGGTTGCAGATCCTCTTATATTGAAAACGCTGATTTTCATTGCCGTTGAACAGTCGTTGAATCTTGATTCTTGCATATGGATATATACCACTGCCACCGTGTATTGGATATTTACAGATGGAATTGTTAAGATTTGATTATTTTGAAGAATTTATTTTTTGTTATTATCGATTTAATATATACTGCTCCCTACTGTTTCCTGAAGTTTTTTTGTTATTGGTTGTGCTAAAATGTAAAAAACGTTCTAAAAATATTTCTTTTTAAAAATTAAAAAGTTTATTTTTATGCTTATCTGTATGGCTTTTAGTTTGCTCTGGTTAAACAAATAACTATTATCAAACTAAAATGTTAAGTCAAACTAATTAATTAATTTATGTTGCATTAGAGTTATATATGTAGGAGCAACTCAAAATATCAGGTAGAGAACTTAGGGTTTACTTGGCAGGGTAAAGGTTTTTGACTAAAGTAAATCGAGTGAACAACATACATTACAAATTGTTTTTTGTTCAGTTTACTTAATATCGACTTGAGTTAAATTTACTTAAAGAAATGAATGCAAAACGTAGAAGCAAAACGTGCCTGAAATGCAAAAGGTAAATGCAAAAGGTGTCTTAAATTTTTGTTTTGGGCAGATACAGAGCACCTGCCCCTGATTTTCTGAAAATGATATACAGGGTATTCTGGAGTTTCGGTATTCCAGTTAAATGATGGATACATTCTTACCGAGGTTTGGCAACGTGAAACTACTATTAAGGGATAAGCATAGAGTCGTATATCATCATGCATGGTCGATGTGCAGCATGGAAGTGCCTCACAGAGGTGAGGGCAAAACTGGTGACAGGCTTGGAGAACAGGCAGCAATTTACAGCGAGTCACTGTTCAGTTCTTCTCAGGGAGACTGCAGTCATACTGCAATTCTAGCATCTCATAAGTTCAACTTCACAGATAAAGTGTATTTCCTCTGCTTAGTCTTGTCCTGTTTTGTCTGTCTGCATCAACCTGCATGGTCTTATAATGTCACGTCTTGTCTATCATGTCTTATTTGTCTATTTGGGTACTGTTAGGTCATAATGGTGGGTGGGCAGGGGAGGCCTGGATTGGAGTGGCTTCATTTAATATATCATCTTGATCTTCAATAAATTAAAAGTAACATTTAAAAGAAGAGAAGGGCGAAGTGCAATGTAAAGTGCAATGTAAAGTTGGAGATGGCTATAATATACATGCTCTGCACATTCAAAGTCTACCCCATTGTCCAGATGAAGGAAGCCACCATATTCTTACCCAGAGGCCCTTCCGGCAACAATACTGCGCTAAACCCTTCATTGCTGGTATCCTTGTCCAGGATGAAAGGGAGTGTTGGGTTTGAGCCTGGAAGTGTGGAGGCTTCACTGGACGTCGTCTGGAGCCAGTAGAAGGTGGTGACATAGTGCTCAATGCAGTTGAATATGGTGAGGTGGAGGAGTGCCTGAGTGGTACCTGCAAAGTCCTTCACAGGCCATGAGTAATAGAAGGCAAAGATCCAGAAAGCTGTGGAGAACAGCAACGCTGCCCAGGTTGGGCAGGTCCTTGCTGTTATAACCTCCTGGGGTCATCAGCCACACCCTCATTGCTCATTACATGATCCAGGACCTCTGTCTGTCACTGGAGAACTTCTGGGGGGTTGACGCACAAGCCAGCTTCATAAATGGCAATCAAGACAGTGTGCAAGTTATTAAACACTCCGTTGAAATCAGCAGTCTGGGCAAACAGATCGTCCAGGTAGATGACACACTGGTTCCGTGGGACGTAACTCAGCATTCCCTCCATCAACCACGCGAAGTTGACTGGGGCGTTACAAAGCCCGAAAGGTATGGCCTGGAAGCACCATAGACTAATGGTGAATGTAGTCTTGAGTTGAGTATCTGGGGCCAGTTTGACCTGCTAATACCCACTTTGGAGGTCTAAGAAGCTTAACCACATCGACCTGATTCAGCATATCATCCAACCAGGGCAGGACACAGAAGTCCTTCTGTGTCATGAGGATCAGATGCCAGAAGTTTCCCACAAAAACGCCATGACTCATCCTTTTCCTTTAGCAGGACTGCAGGCGCAGCCCATAAACTGTTCGATGACTCAATGACACCCACGGCCATCATTTCCTGGATCTTCTGAAGGTGCAGACAGATGGGCTTGGCATCTCCAGTGTCGATCCAATGTTGGACAAGGGCAGTTAGTCTGCACACATCACCTCAAGCTAGGGCTGCATGAAATCACATCGCGATGGACTTGAGATTATATCATGCATAATCACCGGGACTTTAGGTGACGGGCGAAGCAATTCTCCAATGCCAGCTTTTCTGTACTATACGGACATTTACTTATGCCCACAATTAATGATATACCAAAACAGTACTATGTGACATGCTCTGCTAATTGAATTTAACAAACTTAAGGATATACCAGATACAGGTTTAATAAACATAAGGATACGCAAATATAGATTACTAACTTATGGGCATCACAATACACAATATCTCATTAATTTTTTAGCCATACTACTAATCTACTTACCAAATTGTGTGTGTAAGTAAATATCCACATAGTACTGAAAAGCCAGAGGTCACCAACATGGTGCCCACGAGCACCAAGATGCCCCCGAGGACACCATGAGTCGCCTGCGGACTTGTTCTAAAAATAGCACAACTCAGCAGTGAGCAGTGTCTAAAATGTCATTTTATCCTGTTGCTATTCTTCATTAATCACATTTGCATTCATATAGATTTGAAAATGACAATGTCTAAAAAAAAAGCATTTAAAACATGTTTATTATACATGAAGTTTAGATAAGTTAAGGAGGGTGTTTCAAAATGTTGGCCAGCCACAACTCCTGCTTTGTGATCTGCCCTGTCAGCGTGACGCTGAGTCCCTCATGGTATTTTGTGATGGCTGCCAGTGATAACGCTGCTCCATTGCAGTGTGTTCCCACTGCACCACTTGGCACAGAGCTGTGGCTCCCTCTGCTGCCCAGCAATAGTAGTGCAGCGCCTTAACTCCATCGGGTGGGGAAGGCATCCATTCGTGACCCCCCCCTTCTGCTCTGCTGCTGCCTCCTCCCTGCACCTCGCGGCTGTCAGCTGCTGAAGTTGATGCCCTGATATCCCAATTCTGACACCAATGTAACAGGATTTGTGTTTTGAGTCATGCTTTTAATAATAAAGATGAGATAGCTCTTTATAAAAGTTAATGGAAGTTCTGCATTTACTAACTGTTCTTCCAGAAACATTCAGCAGTGGCACAAACAAAGGAAGT